CCCCAATTCCCCAGCACTGTTCCCATCTCCCAATTCCCCAATAAAAAAATAAAAAAAAGACTTAGAAAGAAAAAAAAATGAAATGCCTTGATGAGATTTGTATTTTATCAAACTTATTGTGGGAGCAGTATGAAAGAAGGAGAGAGGCAGAAAAAGAGATAGGAAGATGAGTTAGAAAATTGATGTGATGACAAGAGACCTGAAAGACTAAACAGTGCTAATGAAGAAAGAAGGGAAAGGATGATTTTAAACAGCATTAAGGTGACAGAATTGACACAATTAGATGATGGGCTGGATAAGAGATAAGAAAAAGGGAGAAGACAAAAATTATTCCTAGATTTCTGTCTTAGCAACTGGGAGCATAGTGATGCTATTTATTGGGACAGATACACAGAGGAAAAACAAATGGGGGAAATGGAAAACTCACATTTCCCGATTTCAAGTTTTGCTTACAAAGCTACAGTAATCAAAACAGTTTGATACTGACATAAAGACCAACATACAGACCTATGAAACAGAATAGAGAGCCCAGAAATAAACCCTTCCATCTATGGTCAAATGACTTTTGACAAGGGTGCCAAGACAATTCAATGGGTTATGAAATCTTTTTAACAAATGGTGCTGGGAAAACTGGATATCCACATGCAAAAGAAGGAAGTGGGGCCCCCTAACTAACAACAAATACAAAAATTAACTCAAAATGGATAAAATCTAAATATATAACCTAGAACTCTCAGAAGAAAACAGAGAGAAAAAGCTTCATGAAATTGGATTTGGCAGTGATTTCTTGGATATCACACCAAATGCACAGGCAACAAAATAAAAAATAGACAAATTAGACTTCACCAAAATTAAGAACTTCTGTGCATCAAAGGACACTATCAACAGAGTAAAGAAACCAGCCTACAGAGTGGAAGGAAAATATTTGCAAATTGTATATCTCATAAAGGATTAATATCTAGACTACATAGAGAACTCCTAAAACTCAACAACAAAGAAATAAATAACAATTTTAAAATGGACAAGGACTTGAACAACCATTTCTCAAAAGAAGATATACAAATTATTCCAAACATACGCATATGAAAAGATGTTCAAATCACTAATCATTAGGGAAATGAAAACCAAAAACCACAATGAGATACTACCTCACATCCATTAGAATGGCCATCATCAAAGCAGAAAACAAGTGCTGGAGAGAATGTGGAGAAAATCAAAGCCTTGTACACTATTATTGGTGGGAATGTAAAATGGTGCAGCTGCTATGGAAAATAGTATGGCAGTTCTTTAAAAATGGAATTACCGTATGACCAACAATTCCACTTCTGGGTATATATGCAAAAAATTGAAAGCAGGGACTCAAAGATATATTTGTACACCCATGTTCATAGCAACATTATTCAAAATAGCCAAAAGATGGAAGCAACCCAAGTATCTGTCCACAGATGAATGGATAAACAAAATGTGGTAGATACATACAATGAAATATTACTCAGTCTTAAAAAGGAAGGAAATTCTAACATATGCCACAACATGGATAAACCTTGAGGACACTATGCTAAGTGAAATAATTCAATCACAAAAAGATAAATACTGTATGATTCTACTTACATGAGGTACCTAGAGTAGTCAAATTCATAAAGACAGAAAATACAAGGGTAATTGCCAGGGGTTGAGGGAGGGATGGGGAATTATTGTTTAAAGACTATGGAGTTTCAGTTTTGCAAGATGAAGAGCGTTCTGGAGATTAGCTGCATAACAATGTAAATATACTTAACACTACTAAACTGTACACTTAAAAATTGTTAAGATGGTAAATTTCATGTTATGTGTATGTTATTGCAATTAAAAATAAATGTTAAAAATAAATCATTGCCATAATGTTCTGGAAGTAGTTGCTGATAATGGTTGCACAACCTTTTGAATACACTAAAAACCATAGAATTGCACACTTTAAATGGATAAATTATATTGTATATAAATTGTATCTCAGTAAGGCTGTTTAGAAAAGATAAATAAATAAATCACTACTGATTTTAATATGACTGTAACACTAATGTATTTGAAACCCACGGGGGGGATTGCAATTCAAATATGCAAGTCCAACTATAAATTTTTTCAAAGCCCCTTCATTTCCTTTAGCATACAGAGAACAACACATGTTCTGTTCAGCCATATGAACAGGTAACAATGACATCACAGGCAAGTTTCCCATAAACTGGAATTCTTATTCTTAAACCTTCCACTTTATCCCTTCTGTTATGGAGTGAATGTTTATGTTCCCCCCAAATTCATACGTTGAGGCTCTGACCCCCAATGTGATGGTATTTGGTGGTAGGGCCTTTGGGAGGTGATCAGGGTTAGATGAGTTCATAAGGGTGGGGCTCCCAAGACCGGATTAGCATCCACGTAAGAAGAGGAAGACTGCGCAGAGCTCGCTCACTCTCTACAGTGGGAGGACACAGCAAGAAGGCAGCTGTCTGCAAGCCAGGAAGAGAGCCCTCACTCAGGAACCAAACTGGCCTGCACCTTAATCCTGGACTTCTGAGTCTCTAGAACTGTGAGAAATAAATGTCTGTTGTTTAAACCACCCAGGCTATGCTATTTTGTAATGGCAGCCCAGTCTGACTAATACACTCTTCCAGACCAATGTCTCAATCTGGGAGAGCAGCTCTCTAACCAATCTCTAAATTGTCCTCATTTTGTCCTGCCAGTGCTATGTCTATGACTAGAAATGCCAAACCAGGAGTTCTAGGTAATCTTCCAGCAAGAAGGCCTAAGTCATAAAAACCTTTTGAACAAGGTCAGGGCAATATATTCTTGGCTTTAACCTTCCAATTCTTAATTCCTACACTATTGTCACAAAACACTACTGGACCTCTTTGCTGTTGGACATGTTCTTAAAAGTACCTATTGGTTTTATATCAAGCAAGATAATGGCACATTAGACTTGTGTCTTACATAGAATTTAATAGTGCCTCAGTTTTAAATATGTGATGACCTGCCACTCTAAGTGGCTCAAAGTCATCAGTCAAGAGATTTCTATTAATAGTAATATAATTTTTCCAACTCTTATGAATTTACATAACCAAATATAGAGTTCTCCTGGGCAACCCAGAACATCTTCCATCCCTGACTGCCTGATCCAGCTCTTGCCATTCTGTTTGTCCAGCTCATTATGTTCATTTATTATGTGATAAACATTTGGGTCTATGTCTCATGAAAGAGCCACTGCTGGAAGAGCACAGCCTTTCTAAGGACACGGAAGGAAGCCAAGGCAGTAATGCAAGCAGAAAATAAGGCAGTGCTGAGCTTAACCCGCCCCTCGTTCCTGCTTCCGGGACAATGAGGGGTGGCAGCAGCTTGGCAGGAAGACATGGAAGTGACAGAGATCCAGCTATCCCGCTCCAACTCAGGCTTCAGCAGTGCAGGAGAATGAGGGCGTTTGTGAAGCTTAAGAGGAAGAATCAAAACCTGGTCAATCCTAATGCAGGTCCAACCAGGTCCCCCAGGAAGTACAGACTATCAACGTCCATGACGGTTTCACCTGCCTGTCCTTTATAAAGGCAAAACATTCAATACGTTCTTATGGTTATTACTTGCAATGTCTATCTCAAATACTGGAAAACAAATATTTAAACATTTAAGTTTCATGCGAAGATGAAAACAGAGTTCATAAGAGCTTTTAAAGAAATATACCTTATTCCATTCACTTGTGATTCGTAATATGATGCAATAATCATTCCCTGTTTTCAAGGGTGCATTATAGTATTTCCCGTAATACAGCCTGTCTCCAACAGTTATCTCCATGGCATCGTCGGGGACATCTTTGGCCAGTAGTTCTGCAGCCACATATCCATCAGCATCAGAAGTGTTGCTAAAGAATGAGGCAGCCCCTTCAGAATCACAAGAAAACGTGCTTTTGAGGGCCAGGGGAACCACTAGCACCTGATATGAACTGGAAGGGAAGAGAAAATGTCTATCAGATGCTTATTTTGGGGATCCATTCATTCATTTACTCATATGTACTGAGTACTCGCTATGAGATAAGTACTCTTCTAAGCACCACTAGCGATACAACACTGGACAAGAAAAAGTCCTTGCCCACGTGTGAGTCAGTCTGACAGCTCCAACATTCAAGGAACTCCAGTTTTAACCCACAGTGTTAATGCCAGATGACCCTGGGTGAGGAATCTCTTTACATTCTGGCTGCTGATGGATGTCAAAGACATCCTCTTTAGCTGGGAGAAGTTGTTGCACTACCCTGGGCATACATGTCATGAAGTTTATCTAATCGGTGATTTTCACGTGGGCAAATAAAGCCCAGCTGTGGAAAGGGTTTAGCAGTCAGTCACATGGAGGCTGACTGCCTACAAGAGTTAATATACTAAGGCTGCCAAAAGGCTTCAGGAAATCACATGGTAACCTAACATAGATCTCATGTGATTTACAGTCCCTGCAGTTTATGGACTGATACCAAAGTTCCTATGAAATCAATGAGAAGCAAGGAGTATAAAGTCGCAATGAGTTCATCCAGTCTGGCAATACCCTGAACCAGCCAGAAAGGGAAAATGTCACATGTACATTGTGAAACTGTTCCCTAACTGTGGC